GGCACAGATCCGGAGGCTTCCTGTGTAAGAGCCAGCGCATCCGTCAGCCCCAGTCCCTCCTGTCTCAGCGACGTTAAAGCCGCTGCTATCAACTCCCCATCCAAACTGCTCAAGTTCTTAAAGATTCCCTCGATGGGGGAGAAGTCGCAGGCTCCCACCTCTTCTGTCCGCCTGAGCCCTCAGCTCACTCGCAACTCCAGGATCCCTGCCGCACCAATAACTACGAGGTTTACCACTCGCCTGTTCCCACACGCAGAGCGACCACCACTGAGAGGTGCAGGCAGCCCCTCCTCCACCCGCCCGGTCCGAGTCGTACCCCGCCACACACTCGGCACCAACTTCCCCTCCACAGCCCGAAGACACTGCTCTCCCACCCGCTAAGGAAATAAGCTATAGCAGCCTGTCTGCACCTAAACCCACTGTGGGCTCAAAGATCGGCGCTCCCTCCTCCTCACCCAAAGTTTCTCAGAGGGTCCCTCATTATGAAAATGTCTGTGACATGTCCATCGGCTCTAAAGAGGAGGAACCAACCCAAGGTCAGGAGAAAAGAACCACTCTTCCATCTCAAACTAAGGCAAACGCTGGTGAGAGGAAGCTTGTTAAATCGCTACCAGAAAGCGTCCTGAATCCCGCGCCTCAGCGAAAGCAGTCGTCCTCATCGACATCAGAGTCTACATCAGATGATGAAGAGGATTCAGACAGCCCTGTGTGGGTTAATCATCACAGCCTACCCAACTCCTCTGCCCTCAGCAAAGCTCAGAGCAAAACTAACTACTCACAAACCAGAGAGAAGCAGGATGGGCACACACGGGAGGTGAACATAGCGAGCTCTGAGGTCACTCAGGGTCCGCCTGCACCTCCAACCAGGAGGAGTGACTCCTCGTCCATTCCCAAGAGGCCTACGGTTGGGGCGGCGAGATCTCAGGCCGACTCGAGTCACCACGCTTTCAAAGACAGACTGGCTGCGCTCGGCAAGCTGAGGAGCTCGGAGGATTTACAAGGCGGCCTCAGGCCCACTGATGCGGTGAATGAAGGCACCTACGGAGAAGAAAGAGGCAAGACGGCAGAGATCCACAAGGAGGAACAGAGACATTCAAAGTTCACAGACTCTTCGGACGGTAAGCCTAAAGGTAGCAGTGGTGGTTTGAAGTATCCGGGGTCATCTCAGCTCTATGAGCAGCCAGTAAAATCTTCTGGTCCCGCACTGGTTAAACAAGAACTCTGTGTGACCAAGCCAGAGGGACCGAAGAGTAAAATGGGCCTGCCGTCACCCAACACAGATGCTCCCCAGGTACTACGCAACAACATCAAGTGTCCTGGCTCCCTGAATCTGGCCTACAACGTTAAAGCCAGCATCGCTCCTCACAGTAGCAACAGCCCCAACAAAATCCCTCCAAAGTCACCGTCCAAACCTTGCCAAGGCCCGTCCGTCCACAGAGGGGGCAAGTCCGCAGAGGCCCCGCGTTACTCGTCCAAGTCAGAGGAGAGGACCAAGATCAGCGGGAAAGGGAAAAAGAATCCAATGTACGGAGACAGCCTCCCGCCTCCTCCTCCGAGACCTCCGGCATCTGAGGTGGAGAAGCCGTCGCTGCCGGTCCCCACCCTGCAATCCGCCATCGAGCAGAAGGTGATGAAGGGCATCGAGGAGAACGTGCTGAAACTTCAGGAGCAGGACAGAGGAGGGCAGGGTGGAGAGGTCAAGCAGAAGGCCTCCAACGGCATCGCGAGCTGGTTCGGCCTGAAGAAGAGCAAACTCCCCGCGCTGAGCCGCAAGACCGACGGCACTAAAGCAAAGGAGGAGAAGAAGGAGTGGAAGATAAACATTCCCTCGGTCGGCAGGGACTCTGTGAAAATGGCCTCCAGGTGTAAAGAAGGCGTGGAAGGTCTGAACATCTCGACTCTGATGGAGAAGGCCGAGGGGCTGAGGAGAGCCCTGGAGGAGGAGCGGGCCTATGTGGAGAGATCAGGCAGGGGTCACTCGTGTGAGGTGGTGATGGATCAAGCTCAGGGACAGCTGGCGGTCATGTACAGGGGAGCGCGCTCTGACAACTTCATGCAACAGCTGCTAAACAGGTGAGGACTCAAGAAAGGACATCAGAGATGTAATATTTTAAGAAAGTACACTTCTTCTTTCTTCCTGGCAGAGATGTAAGCCGCTTTTAGTACATGCAAAATCAATTATAGATGTTGGTCTCAACTCAAGAATTATTTTCTGTAGAAGCCAAGTAGCATTTGAATACTAATCGCAAGCACCAGCCTGGAGCAGCTTTTTGCATATGTATATATATCCAGGGATTAAGATCACTGTAAACATCCTTTAAAACAAGAAACTGCTGAAATACGACAACTTGCACTGAGTGCTGGGAGATTTATTTAATGTTAGTCTTTCAAAAAAAAGTTAATCAGTAATAATCTGACCAGCTCCCTTGTCCTTTTTATTTATTAACTTTCATTAATACCACATACCTTGAATAATGAATGAAAGGTAGCCCAGTCTTCTGCCTAGTAAATGATGAAATTCACGGTGCAGAAAGTGCAAGTGTCCTCCTGCATGCTGATGACGGTCATTAATTAAATACGTTTTAAAATCCATAATTAATGCAGGAAGAAAACAGGAAACTTTCCACTGAGATATATCATGAATCTTTCCCAGCGTTTTCCAGCAGTGACAGCTCTTCCTCTCCTACACAACTATCACATGAATGCTGCTTTTTATGTAAAACGTCTTCAATGTCTAAATAAAGGAATCAAAGACGTCGTCATTATTTTTTTTAATCAGCCTGTGTGTGTTTTAAAAACAAAACAAATCCAAGCTGTGTAAACCGTGTACAGCTAGAGCCCACTTCCTTGTATGTGTGCAAAGACTTGGCCAATAAAGCCGTTTCTGACTCTAAATGTAGAGTGGACGGAAAGGAGATGATCAGCGTGCCCCAGCGACGGCTGTCGTTCGACTGTAAGACGTCGAAGCCGGTGTTCACCCCAGAGCGACATCATCAGTCACACCACCAGTCACGACGACATGGAGAAGGTATTTCTTTACTTATTAATCTGCAGTTCAGAGACTAACAGAGTTTAAAAGAAACCTGAGGGAGGACATTAAAAACGGAGCTCTCTTTCATCGAGTCGAATCTGTTTACACTGAACCGACTTTCAAGTCTAAACCTGGCATCTAATTTGTTAGACTTGTCTCCTGCATTGAGATTTGAAGATTTCCGCACAGTCACGGCTCTTTCTGCATCTCTGTTGTTCTTTCATGCAGGGATCAGAAAGAATCGGCAAGATCACATCAGATGAAAACCTCGCAGATTCAGTTCACTCTCAACACTTTGCAGGTAAGATAAGTCTGCCGGGAGTCTAAAAAGGTTTGCAGCCTTTGTGGAGGATCAAAATAGACTTAGGTGGAAGTCACAGGGAAGTAAGGTTAATAAGAAATTCACAGAGAGGAAGGGAAGTAGGTAAATTAAATGCAAAAAAGAAAGAAAAGTGATAACAATATAAACTATGTGTACGTTCAGATGAAAAATGAAACTATTTTGAGTATTTCTGCTACTTAATCTTTCATATATCTACCCTGATACATTTTAGAGAGAAAATATTGCACTTTTAATATAAAGTTGCTATTTACTTTGCTTGTGCGCAGTGGCCTAGCTTAGCTTCACACCAACAGGATGCAATATTAAAATGTTGCTTTTATGATAAGGAATATGGAAATAAACACTGCTACTGTGATCCTACGAGCCCTTCCTCAGATTGGAACATTTTACCAAACTTTGCTGAACACATTTCGATGTTATGCAATAGTATTAGAGCTTATATAATATTAGATATTATACATTTTAAATATTATAAATATTGTCCCATCAGAGGTGAATGGGGATCCTCTACACCAGCTGAAGGATATTGAAGACTTACACAGTAGTCCAAAGACTTTCAAAATAAAAGAATTTGAACTAGTACCTTTCAACGGTCAATTAATTTTGTTTATCTTTTCGTGTCATCCGGGCTTCACATTCACAGTAAATGGATTGTGTTTGTTGCTTTCTCCTTCTCTGAGGACAGGATAGGGCAGCTGATGATTGCATTGAAAACTTGAGTATTAAAAAAAAGAAATATGGCGATTAGACATATCATTTTACGATCAACTTCAATACCTCTGTGTAGATAATGTATTAATCCCCAATCATTTAATATCTGTACTTTTCACTGAGTACTTTTATTTTTTATAATTTAAGCATGTTTTTTGTAGATAATAATTACACACTTTTCCTTAAGGACTTTCAGTATTTTTGCGGTATTATTTGTGTAAATGATCACACATTCAGGCACTGAGAATCAGCGATGCTCCATGAGGGTGTGACTGAAACACTGAGGGGAAATAAGCTGCCTCACACCTTTGTTAGCATATCAAAGGTGAACAAACAGGGCACACCCCCGAGGGGAACTCATTCTGAGGCTGCAGTAAAAGATCAAATAAATGAGGACGCCACCAATTTACACATTTGCTTTGTGAAGTTTTTTCTTTTTTTTTTTTCTTCTAAATTCTTAAATTATGCAAGCAGTTCATTAATTCACATTTGCTGAATCTCCTCCCCCGTGTTTTTCCTCCGCAGGCTCCGGTGCTTCCACCTACACCCTGGACAGCGGCATCGGTACGTTCCCTCTGCCCGACTGCAGTAGCGGTGTAGCTGCACGGGGCCTGTCTAAGACGAAGGGCGGAGCGAGCACCACTCCGGCGGTGGCTCCCCAGGGAGAGCCGGACGGCGAGCTCGCACCCTGGACAGAGAGCTGACATCACAGGAGGACTGCTACGCTCCACACAAGCAGCTGATTCCCACCATTCAGTACGGGTCCGTGTTGGAGGGAAGAGGCTCAGCCGGCGTCATCCGCGAAGGTGTCAACACTCCGCCCCACTTAGACATAACAATAACAGATGGAAGAGGTCAGGTTGTTGGACAGTGTTACTTAAATGGGATCTGTTACGCCGATTCCCAGCCCTACGTTCATGTGTTTTAGGATGGTATGAGTGTAAATAAAAGCATAAAGAGGACACTAAGAAATATAGAATTATAAAGGAAACAGTATTAAAGAACTTTTATCCTCCAGAAACCACCAATATCCCTCTTAAATGTTTAGCTGGTTCATTTTGGGTCAAACCTTTTCTCTGCAAAGCCATGAAGCTCCAGTAGCATGGTTACAAAACACATTTATTCCCTTTTGTAGTAACCATTTTAGCCTAACACTTAAACAGTTTTAACCTTCCTCATGTTGGGAATTTCGACAAGTACTTGTGCTCTTAAATTCACTTCAGTAATAACCCACGGGAGAAAATCCTCGGCACAAGAAACACAAACTCATCTTTATTTGTTCCATCTGCAGACAAAGAGGCACATGGAGGGAACATGTTTTCGCCTCGCTCCAAGACTTGGACTTTCCCCAACCTGAAGACTCCAGCAGGACCTGCGGAGGTGTACCTGGCAGTGGAGGAGGAAGAGGAGGAGGCGGTATCCTTTGGATCACCATTCAGAGGGGTAGGCATACTGGTTTTACTGTTATTCAAATGCACCTTTTATCGTCTTCAAACGAAGTTGTGAGGACTGTTTTGTAGCACAGAAAGAGCTGCTGATGTACTCAGGCATAATGGACGTATTTCATTAACTAATGGTGAGAAATAACTGAAGAATGCAAAGATTTCTGATAGCTAAGGTCATGTGGAATCACCGCCTTTACTGTATGTTTAACAGCATCCACAGAAACCAACAAAAAGCCCTTCCTGAGTCAGAAAAACTCCTGACCGATGAGCTAATTTTTCTGTTTTGGTGCGCACATAACATCTGCACAAGACTCTGGTTCTGAGTCCACAGCAACATTTTTTATTTATTTTTTGCAGTGGAAGCATCCATGACCTCATTTTCAGAGCACTTGTTGTTGCTAGGTTACAGAACTACGGTGGCCCTGAGGGGCATAGACGACAACAACAAAGGAGAAAACACAACGACGTTTCACTTTACGGGAAAGGTTAGGCACGGCACTTCTGCTGTTTGGCTGATCAATCAAGAGGTTATACTGTTGGTTGGTTTGCGACGCAGAAATCTCTTCTGCCATCAAATTAATCAACGCTTTTTTTTCTCGCTTCTACCTGCAGTGCTTGAGAGCAGCTGTGCACGTGTCAGGAGTTTGAAATCGTTTCCTGTTTTTACTGTGGTGAAGAAATTTCAATCTTTTGTCAGTTTTATCAGTTCCGGTGTTTGGAACACCTCTGCAGGGTTAGAAGCAACATTCAATTCAAGCAACACATGAAGAAAATGCTTTTGTTCGTAGATCATAAATAACTGGCTGGTCAGTAACGACCACGATCCTCTACCACGACTGACTATTGGGCCTGGAAGTGCTTTGGAAATTAATTTATTTCACTAATTTCAATTTATAATTATTGTAGCAAAAAAATTTCACATTATCAGTAATAATGTGATATATCATTAGCAGTTTTTTGTTATTTTATTTCCTGTCAGTAAACATCATTATGAGCTTTATTTTATCCATATAACTTTATTACTTTACTATCATCCCGGACAAGGCCCCAGTTACAGGCCCTTTCTAGGGAAAAACGTCACAAAGAAGTGTTGCACAAAAACCTTGTGATTGCTTTGGTTGCTAGCAGATTGCTGCAGTTACCCATCCTCATGAAAGACATCGACTTGTCTGCAAATCGTATCTAACTAATTACTGCAACGCAAACAAGAAAGGGAGACTGTTCGCCTTCAAATTAAAAGCTGTACCTTACTGATTAAACCAAAGACGCCGCTTTTGCTTTGACTGAGTTTCTGGTTTGTGTCACACAGTCTCACAACCACTTAGTGAGAAATTACAAGTGTTTGCAGACAAGTTGGCATCTTCTATACACACTACAATGACTGTGGGAATCTGCTAGCAACAAAAGCAATCATAATGAGGTTTTTGACACAATACATGACAGCCAGTAACCCCTTGTCAACCAGTGGGGGAATAGTATTTTTTTCCTAGAGACCAGAAGTTTCTCAGAGGTAACTGACCTGACAAGGTTACATTGATATACTGATATTTTTATATTGATATTATTAAGCATTATTATTGATACTATGAGTTGATTCTGCTACCATAGTTGCTATTCTCCACAACTACTCACCACACACATCCCCCCCTAATAACTGGTCTCTAAGCCTACATGACTGCACTAAACTGCAGTGACTCAATCAGACCATCCACAAACCTGAATAGGCTCCTGTGAGTCAAGGTGCAGGGCACAGTTCCACAGAGGAGCTACTGTTTACCCAAATGTTTGGAACGCACACAAAAGGTGAGGAGCAACAAGAGGAGACAACAACTCAGCAAAGTAATGACTGTTTAACTGCGCCTGTATGACTAACAGTCTAATATACTGAGGGTTGTTTTTGGGGGAGGGCGTTGTGGGAAACTGATTTCTGTTTGCATTTTATAGAAATGCTGTTGCTGTTAACTGTAATTGTCCTGCCATTGGAATGTTTACTGTATTGTCAAGTGCATACTTGTAACATGACAACCTGAATATAGTGACAGCCTTAGTTGACGGTGTTTCAAGTCCCAGCCTGCCTTGATTTCGATCAGCAGGTGAAAGAGAAGTGACGTTAACAAGTGTAGCACCGTTCCGAAACTATTTCACTGACGGCGTAAACTGGGGAAAGATAAAAGCTGAGGACTCCATGTGTCACTGACGCTGAGCTTTTTATAGAAAATTGTGCAAAAAACACTTCCTGTGGACACAAGCTCTTATCCTCGCTGATCAAGACAACTCAAAGAAGATCAATTTTTCATCTGCAGTGAAACTCAAACTACCAATCCCAGCTTTGACTAAGAAACTGAAGAATAAGAATGCAGAGACTAGAGACTAGTCCTTAGGAAGAACAACCAGAGAAGCTTTGAAGGTTATTATGCTTCGTTAACGAGTGTTTAATGAGAAATTATTCTGTACTTAATGAAAAGTGCTTAGCAAGAGCATGAGAAAAAGACTTATCTGGGTCACTTACAGGCTGAAATCCTTTACAGGCAGTAAAAGGAAGGGATACATTTTTAAATCTGCACTTACATCTTACATAATGTAAAAAAACCAGAGCCACATTCTCCCTGTACAATTATTCATCAGCTGAATATTAAAAATTTACAGTTGGATGAATCCTGTAACCCACTTTTTAGTGTCACCTGAAGGCGTACATAAGACGACAGCACATGACTTAAATGTTTCCCATCCTTCTGCTTCCTTTCAGAGCACGAAGGCCAGCGGCCCTCCTCCAGCCGGTGGTTTGATCCAGGCAGCCTGCCCGTCCCCGCCCAATCGGGCATGAGCCGCCGGGAAAGACGCGCACACCCAGCGTCCCCGAGATGAGCCGGGAGGCCGGGCTGAGCTGCTCAGGAGCGGCCAGAGGAAGCCCTATCCCCAAGTCGCCCTCAGGTCCTGGAGACTCCAGGGTCTCTGAGCGATTCTCTGTAGACAGTCTGTCATCTGCGGCAGCCAAGGATGAAGCAGCCAAGGACGGGAGGAGGAGAGGAGGAGGAGGAGGACGACGACGGGGAGGACGCGTCTCCTGGTCGATGGCTGCGCTGAGATGCTGCTGAGGAAAGAAGACTGCTCCCCGTCGACATCCGCGAAGAAAAAACTGGTGACGTCTCATCAGCTGTTGTAACTGGAAAGATGGATTGATCTCCTCAGGATTTCCAATAAACGTGAAGCCAAAGCCACCCAAATCGTATAGGTTGTTCACTTTTTCACGATCAGACTCGACTGTGGACACTTCTCTTTAAATCATGTGTACAGGACAACAAAACGCATGGCCAAGCTAATGAGCAGCACAAAAAGTTGTCACTCCCAGTTGTCGTTCGGTGACCTCTCTTTCGTTTCTCTCATCGTAGATGGAGCTTCGTCCCGTACGTCAGAAAAAATGGCGGGGGTTCACAGATGGCGTACTGTACTGTATCAATACATCCATTCTATTCTTGGCATCATTTCACCGCATAATGTATTAAAAAAATAGAAAAAACCCCACAAAAAAATGGAGCGCCTTTTAAAAAAAAATGAATGTTCATGTCTGTGACTCTTAATTGCGAAACTCATGCATCACGATTTTAAATGTATAAACGATTTTATTGATCATGTTGATATTGTTTTGCGCCAAGGAAGGTTGTCAGAGTATGTTTGTTTTGAAATCATAATACATTTAAAGGTAATATATACCAGCAATAATAACATAGATAGAGAAATGGCTACACTATTCAATGATATGTATTTCTATTATTTATTTATTTTAAATGTTCATCATTTGCAGTCATCTTTTTTTTTGTAATCTTTCTGTGAAAACTGCAGTTTCCTCGCTTAGTAGGTTATCTTCATATTTTGTGTTGCATCATCTCTATTGCCGTTTGTTCCCTAGCAAAAATAGAGGTCCTATGTACCTACTGCCGTTTTTCAACTTTCTAATTAAAATGTTTTGATTTAGTTTTGTCTGAGTCTTTTTTTTTTTTTTTTTTAGTAACTATATGAGGTTGTAGTAGCTCACAGACTTGGATCTGCAGTGTTATTTGCACAGTTGTGAAAAGAGGTTTTATAGAACTCGGTGGAGTCCTGTGAAAAACGAATTACCCCCTTACTGTTCTATAGAGGGTAACCAGCAGGTTCTGCTAATCAAATTCACTGATCATCAGTGAGTGTGAGCACTTCTATGAAAGCAGAAGTTCAAGCAGTTTTCTCATCTGTAGCATTCAGGTTTGTGTTGACATGTTGCCACAATCGTGCCAGAAGTGGACGTCACAGCAAACGCTCTCCAAGTGCCATATTTAGACAAAACTGCAAAAAACTGAAGAGCTGCTTCTCAGACTCTACAGGCCACAATTAACGTGTTCATTTTAAAGTTTATGACAAGACAATTAGAAAAAGACTGAACAAGTGCGGCTTGTTTGCTGCCATGCTAAAAGAGCATGGCAGCACGCTTTAGCTTTGAAAGCTGCATTTGAGTAAACCGCAATACTTTGGAGTGGAGATGTTTGGTGGAGATGCACCGAGTCATACACAGCACAGTAGCACAAGCGGCTCATACAAACTGTTGCACGGTGGTAGGAGGGTGATGATTTTGGCCTGTTTTGCAGACACAGGACAGCACCTCGCGGTCATCGAGTCAGCCGTGCTCTTCTCTGTCTGACAATAACCGTGGCCCAAATGCAGTCATACAACAGGACAAAGAACTGAATCAACGACTTGTGATTGACAAATTGTTCACCTTTGAGTTAGTCACATCAACCTCTTATTCAGCGCATCCAGTTTCCAAACACAAAGACTGTAACGGCGAGAACATTCGTTTTAAGGCTTCAAAATCAGACCAATGAAGACGTATTTGACAGCAGGTCGGTGGGCTTTCTGGGCCTCAGATGGTCTTACTAGGAATTCCCACTCTCACTGACATCATACAGAGCCAAAAGTACAAAAAACTGTCTCAGCAGAGTGTTTGCAGCAACCTGAAGCCTGACCCTTTTGCTCACAGGGATTACATTCATGAAGTAACTGCAACACTGACCAAGAACTCAACAATGATACAAAAACAGTACATCTTGCTTGCAGCCATGTGACTGTCACAAGCATGTTTTGACTATGTTTATGTCTCACGGATAAAGCGACGGGTTTCTTCCATGAATCTTTCTATTGTGTACATCCTCCATGTTAGTGAGCCATACAGCTAACACTAAAATTCTTCCATGACATGACTCACAACAATGTTTGTAGATTTCTTTCAGTAAGTGGGTAATAATTTTGGACATTTTTGCTGACTTTCAAATGTATTTTTTACACTGTGAACCCCAAAAAGAAAACACTATTGATTTAAATTATACTCAAGAAAAGGCAGACATCTCAAAAACTGGGTAAGTCACACCAAAGCAATCTAGATGGATAAACAGCTAAACAGCACTACAAGGCAGAGGAAAAATATGTAAATTACATTCTTAAATTAAACTGTCCCCTTAGGGTGAGCGATAATCTTACTGAGAATAAAGGGCCTAACATCTCTCTAACATCTTACAGGCTTGAGGACAAATGTTAGAAAGAAAGAAAGTGTACTTTATTGTGTGTGTACTTTATTGAGCCCTGTGGGGAAATTGCTCTCTGCATTTAACCCATTCACTTAGTGAAGCAGTGGGCAGCCATTGGGCGCCCGGGGAGCAGTGTGTAGGGACGGTACCTTGCTCAGGGGTACCTCAGGGTAGCTGTTAAGGGGAATCGAACCCCCGACCTTCCGATCATGGGGCAACCACTCTACCTACTGAGCTATCCCTGCCCCTATAGTTCCCATCAAGGCAATCATTTATTTCTGAATATTTATGCAAATAAAAAATTAGAATTAGCTTTTTTTATTTGAAAAATTACATATATTTGAATATTTGAAGCATTAATTATAAAAACATTTGCAAATGCATAACACGATAAAAAAATTAATAATCAGTACCACATCATGCAAGATACAAAAGCTACAGTTTTATTATGAGTGACGAAAAGCTGTTTCTTGTGCTATTACTGAGAGATTCAGGGCACCAAAACCTTTCTGCTTCACAGATTGGCTGTAGTGCAGATGGTAGAGCAGGTCACCTACTGATTGGAAGGTTGGTGGTTTGATTCCAGTCTGTGTGCCAAACACCCTTGAACAAAAAACTAACCCAAGTTCCCTCTGGTGTGCCCACCAGAGTGTGGATGGTAGATAGAAAGAGGTAGGCTGTATAAAGTGTTTTTTCTGAGTAGAAAAGTCCTTTTGGGAGGGGGGGATTCAAAGCTTTGGAATAACAATTTTCAAAGCCAAATCTTACATTTTCTAAAAGCTAAACTGCTGTTTTCTATGCTTCAGTGCTTCCCCAGCATTCCCATAAACACACACACTCTGGTGGATGCATCAGGGCTAACTCGAGGTTCAGTATTTTGCCCAAGAATATTTTGACACAGGGATCTGAGTAGACGGCCTGCTCTACCTCCTGAGCCACAGATGCCCCCACATCTATAACACATCAGGTACAGATTACATAGATTAGAGTACAACCACAGAGGCCTGTAATAAAGACACAATCACTTTGTCTCAGTACGTTCAACACATTTATTTGAGCAAATGTATCAAATTATTAGTTTCAGTTTTACATCAACAAAATAAAATTTTCACAGTATACACTTTGAAAAGAAAAAAAAAAAGGCAAAAAGAGGAAAAAAAGGAATTATACAGATGCCAAATTTCAGGTTAACATCATCATCTGGCAAACTATTGTCTAGACAACAGATTTACAAGGGAGCGGTCTGAATCATTCGCCCGTCAATCCAAGTTGAAGGAACAAAATGAAAGAGAAAAGGACAGATGGCAGCAATTCTTCCTCCTCAATGAGGCCAAAATCCAAAATCCAAACCAGCAAGTGGCTGAGAGTCCCTCTGAATGAGTTCAGTGTAGATCATAACAAGTCTGACAGGCTTCTGGGGTTTTAATCAGTGTTAGCACTCTTCACTCTTACCAAAACCAAAAAACGTGGGAGCAAAACAAATCAGAGGAAAATTTCTGAAAAGGAGGAGCTGCTGTCAAAACCATGGACCATATGTGGCAACATTTCACTTAAGAGATCCAAGGAAAACTATAAATAATGAAATTACATAAAATATTACAATTATCAGTTTCAGAAGCTCACGTGACCCACTATAAAAAGGAGCCTATCATGTTAATTTATGGCACTAAAGAACAAGTAAATATGAAAAAATCCTCATTAGGTGCCGCTCAGCTTCTGGGAGCAATCATAGGGCAACGCTCCCCTCTACAGGCCAAGCGTTATCACTGCAGCGTTAAAGTATTCATTCACAGCCAGGATGGGACGAGCATACCATACCATAAACTTACATTCAACCCTTGTAAGTTTAGAAAAAAAGTATATGATAAATCAAAGAATTTTCAACAATGTAAGACCACATAGGAGTTAAATTTCAAAATGAAGACAAAGTGAAAAGCACCAAGTGCGTTGCAAATTATGCCTTTTCTGATTGTTTTTTTTTCCTGCTACTCAAAGACTCTTTACTTCTTCTCCTTCTTCTTGTCCTGAAAACAAAAACACAAACACGGACAGTTAGTTTGGTCGAGCTGCTGTTGTGAGTGCTGTAGTTATGTATTATGAAACAGAGTGTCTCACTTCAGCCTCAGGATATTGAGCCGCGCTGATCACACGGAAGATCCCGAATATTTTTAGTTACCCGTCTCCGAGTATCGTCATCACTCAGATACAATCAGACGTCCCAGTTTTAAATTACAGTTACAGCTACAAGTATGGCATTTATTTCTTCATTACATGATTTTCTTCATGAGTGCATGCGAGTTTATTAGACAGGTGTCTGGAGTATAAAGTGAAATGAAAACTGTCCAAGGTGTAGTTAACTAAAATTAAAAGTACCAAGTACCTTCTGTCTGAAGTTAAAATTAAGAATACTAAAAAAAAAAAAAAGCTTTAAAACAAACTTTTCCTGAAATTAAGACGTTAACACTACGAATGTTTAGATCTCTGTGACCCTGTTTGTGAAAATCCACAATGCTAAGTTTCAGTTTTCACTGTTTTTGTGGACCACTAATAAAATTTCCTGTCATTGTACTGTGGTGCTTTCTCAGATATCTCAAAACCTCAGCAAATGAAACCACAAATATTTGCATAGCTCAAATTCATGAGGGCCAAATAAGAAAATGTGCTCTTTGTGTGACTTTAGTGAACTGGCTTTTAGAACATCAGCATTTTTTTTTTAAATAAATATGAAACATATTTTATATTTCTGTTACTGTTAAGCATGAAAAGGCCAAAAAACAATAAGCCTTTTTATACTTCACTGGATTTCAGCTTGAAGTCAGTTTATGTTTAAGTTCTGTAGTAACAGCTCACAAAAATGGTCTTACAAATAAGTTTGTGAAACCAGCTGAGCAGTGATGATTTTAGTCAAGATGGAGACCATTTACATCAGTGAAGACTACACATTTGTTGCTCTAATGACTTTGTACAGCAGCAAGATGGTATATTTGGGACTGAGCCAAAACAACTAAAGTGCTTTTGTAGTTCTTTATAGCTTTAGAGTAATAGACTAGACCGTCAGGGAAACTCCCTTACGTATTTTTAACTGTTAAAATGTACACAAACAACTTTTGTTATTACAACAAGCCATCACTAGACATTCCTGGAAATGTTCAAAGACAGTATTTTGCAGTCATATAATATCAGTACCTTATCGTTCATGGCAAGGATGACCATCAGTTTCCTGAAGATGGTGATGAAATCAAGAAACAAGTCCACACAGTGCCTGAAAAATAAAAACAGATATTCAGAGGTGGTTTTTGAACTGTAAAAACATATTGGGCGTTTTCATACAGTATGCAGCTTTTCTAGGCCCAGACCGATCAATCAATCTTCAGCACTGAGTAGATCGATTGTGGCCTCATAACATGATATGGCGGTTTCTTGGTTGGAAAAGAAATCGCTCTGATGAACTGCAGGAAAACAGTTGGGGGGGACATTATCGCCATTATCAAGCTGAGGAAACTCCATCAATCTTTTGGAAAGTGAATGCAAAGCGAACACAAAGCAGCATTTTCAGCAGCGTGATTACACCCAAAGTCTTTGCAATGAGTCGAACTGGTCTAAATGTGAGCCAGGTGATTTACCAAGATGGATCAATAAAGCCAAAGCTTTGCCTTCCGGCTCAGCTCTTCACATTACACATCTGATCCATCAACAATCCAACAGCCCAGCTTAAAGTCCTGAAGATGGAGTACCTCAAATGACGTTTCTTCAAAACAGCTCCGTCAGCACAGCCAAAAAACAAACTCCACCCTCTCAGAGAGGGCTGTGGTCACAGTTAATCAGCCGCCACAGGCACAACTCTTGTCACTAAATATAACAGACTGTTCAACACACCAGTTACCCAAATAAGAGTTATGCTGTCTTTTATCAGAACTGGTCGTGGCCTCGGGGTCATCGTCAAATATACTGTTGTCTACTAACTGAGAATCTCCCTCTCTGCTACAGAAATCAGTCAGTTGAGATACAGTCAGACCGACTGAAGAACATCATCAAGTAGAACGAGCTGCCAGCTCGTCTGATAATACAATGTGGTGCATCAAATTACTTTTTTTGAGAACTGATGCTCAGTTGTATGGCTCACTGTGGGATGATGCATTTGCACAGCATTTGGTTATAGGGAAATGTAGGCCAGCAGATAAAGGGCTCATGGGAACTTTGCTAGCAGTGAGCACATTTCCTCACCAGACGTAGTCCTTGTCCCCATTTTCTGCTTTCTCGATGATGAGCTGAGTGTCAAACAGGACAAAGCCGCACATGATGAGCAGCCCCAGGTACATGTGTGCCTGTCAGAGAAGATGACGATGTTAAACGGCACATTTTCACTTACAGCTGATCAAACTTCTAGCAGAGGGTGGATGGCCCTGTTTGGTTCACTTACCTTAAACAGAACCATAGATCCAAAGAACATGTTCATCAGAGACATCAGGAACAGGAGGGAAAGGCCGGACATGAGTGTGCCTGAGGAGACAAAGTGGTTAGCTGGGCATCACTTTTCCTGGATAATGCTACCGCTAATGTCAGGGGTTTATGAATATATAAGAAAATTTTGAAAAATTGTATTTATTATTAATTTATTTATTTGGTTATTTAATATGATTAAGTAACTTAAACATCACACAGTTCCTAAACTTATACGGACCCTTTTACGATTCTGTTGAGCTTCAGATATAATTTAAAAGAAAAAGCAAATTGAACAAAAACAAAAATCAGGCGAGGGGGCGACTGCCTCATCTGGTAGAGTTTTAAGCCCAGATTAGGGTGTTTTGGGTGTAAAGCCTGTCTAAAACCTAGCTTATGCTCACTGTTGTCACTGTTGTACAATCATGTTAGTTTTTACTGCTAACAATACAGATGTACTGGAGCTCAGAGATTTCTGGATTATAGAGGTAAACGCTCCAACAGTTTGAAAAGAATGGAAAGCTGAAACTGGCCCAGGTGAGAAATCTAGAGACAAACACACCTACAAGATTTCTGTAAGTCAGGGGTGTCAAACTCAAATACACAGTGGGCCAAAATTCAAAACTGGAACAAAGTCGCGGGCTAACGCTAATATTTATTGAAAAAAAAAAAATCTTCCTCTAGATATAAGAATGAATCTTTTCTTATGGACTCAAACAAGTTTTGCTGAAAAACTGAATATGGAACAAGCAAAGCTTAATACTAAACAATATATATTAACTGTATAATACCAGTAGGCCAGCTCTAATAGTAATTTGGTATGGCTTCGCGGGCCAAATGTACTTAGGCTGCGGGCCAAATTTGGCCCGCGGGCCAGAGTTTGACACCTATGCTGTAAGTGAACCTGTAAGTTTTATCAGCTCCAGACAGACTTTCTTATTGCACTTTTACTCACTTTGGTTTCAGCTGCACTGACGAGTGAGTGAATTTGTGCTCTTAGGGAAAGTTCACTGCTGCCAAAACTGAACTGAGATTAAAGCCATGTCCACACTAATACGTTTTAGCTTGAAAACACATCTTTTTCTCTCCGTTTTGGCCTCCCGTCCACACTGAGACGGTGTTTTGGGTCAAGGAAAACGGAGCGTTTTGAAAACGCCGTTTTCACGTCACAGTGTTGACAGCAAACCCGGAGCCTTTTCGAAAACGATGACACATTTTAGTCATGTGATGCAGTCATGTGACCAATTAAACTAAGATAGCGGAGGGCATTACACAGCAGTTGTTTTGTTTGCTCTCAATTGTGACAGCCGCATTAAAGATTAATATCAGTTTGCACATGCTCCACATAGCTTTTCTTCAAATTCTTTAATTCTCACTCGCTTTTGCAACTTTGCACCTTTGTGTTACTCGCAGCAACAACACCTCATTGTTAGTCCATTTTAAAAACTCGGTGCTTTTCCTTAACATTTTGCCACGATGTTTCAAAGAGCCGGAAAGTAAATAAACGGCAGACAGAAATAGGGCAGTACTTGCGCAGTACTCTAACGTAAGCATTTTTGGCCGTTTCAATGTGGATGAACAACTCTGTGAAAACAAATTAAAACAATAGTGTGGACGCGGAGCGTTTTCAGACGTATACAACGTTTTCAAATTTATCTGGGCTAGTGTAGACATAGCCTAAAACTGTAATAGATTTAGGCTGGGTTGATTGCTTTTATTTCCCTGACTGCTCAGTCCGTCAGTTTTGTCACTTTAACAATTTGGTGTATTTTAAAATAATGCAAATGGTGTTCTTAGGGGGGTGGAGGATGGGGGGGGGAGAGTAAACTGGAGATCTTGTACAAAGGTTTTTCCAGATCAGGGCAGCGAATATCATTTGAGGGGTTTCATTTGTATTTAATTGGCTGATTTAAAAATAAATAAATAGATAAATAAATACAATTTTTAGAGGGTATTTAGCAGTAATGAGAAGAAGGTATGCCAGGAATATATAAGCACCGTTTCTGCCTGAACTCATTCAGTAGCTACCAGGTATAGAGTTTGTGGATTTTATATCATCTAGTATTTGTTTAAACTTTCTAATATCAGATGACTAAATATAAAAAAAATTAAATAAAACCACCTAAAATGATAGTTGTATTTTTTGTGCTTTGGTTTTGCTTTTTTTATTATTTCTCAAGTATATTTGTGAATATTAAAAAACAAAAATCTTTCACTGGGCTGTTTTTAACTCGAATACTTAAACTTGTGAATTAATTTGTGACTAAATGAAACATACAGAGGGGTCTTTTTTTTAATCTGTTTTTGGATCCACAAACTACAGCGTGAACCCTGAGTTTACAATAATTATAATCTGTCTTATGGACAAAAACTGATGTAAACTGTCTTAGTTATGGGTGGCAGATAGCACAATTACCTCCAAGGAACAGGTAGGTCCTGCGTTTGGCGTAGAGGGCGCTGAGAGTGAAGCAGATGAAAATCACAGAGGTTCCCATGAAGGCAGTCACAATGATACTGAGGAGAAGAATACCAGGACAAATAAATAATATGTTCTTTATTGACTCTTTGGTTTGCTTAGAGCTGCATAAAGAGGTTCAGATTTATGTGACTAACTTTCACTCACTGAGCTGTTAGCAGACAAAGTTTAATCTGTCACTTACCTCGGATTGACAGAGATGACAAAGTCCAGTGTGGGTCCAAGGCCAACACCTGGTGAGTAAACACTGTGTTAGGCTTTTGCATAATTACAGACCATTCACCTCTGAGCACACAAACAGTAACACATTGTGAACTTACCTGTGAGGAAGGCAAATCCTGCGAGGATAGCCAGTCTCTTCTTCTCTGTCTCAGGGTTGTGGGGGGTCATGGCAAGCCAGAACATCAACCCCAGGGATCCAAGCACAGACAGCACACCACCCTAAAAAACAGGGGTACAGGGTAAACACAGGTACCAGTACTGTGGCCAAGACAATACATTATTTTAAAAAAAGCTACAAGGTGTTAATAAACTACTTATATAAAAATTCAGATTCAAATTACAGACATGTATTTTGACCCATTGTACGAGCATTATCTGAAATGCACCTGCAGAGTTGTGATGCGCAATAAATGCTTCTGTTATGGCCATTTGCTCTATGGTGTCTCTTCATGTGTGCATGATTTTCTTTCATGGTTATTGCCAGTGTCTGTGAAGGTTCTCAGTCATCCAGGTCATCGTAGTCAAAGGAGCTTGCAAAGAAAAGCGTCTGGACTTCTTTATTGCCAGTGGTTTTAAATGTCTGTGCTCCTTCCAATTTGTCACCTACGTCTTTCAGTCTTTACGTCCAAGTCTTGCTACCAAATAACTACAGAGACACTTACCTCTTTTAATTTAGATTTGACTTTTGACTCCCAGTAATAACTTTTAAAATTGGCTGTCCCAATTAACTTAAATAGTGGCTTAAAAGCCCTGCTCAGACTTAATCTAAGATGGCTGATGAATGGTGAGACTCCCCCCCCCCCCCCATTTTCTTCTAAAAGCTGTTGTTGTTATCACATCAAACATGGGATAGAGGTGACTAAGCTTCAAAGTATGTGCTGAGTGGCTTAGTGGTGATAATGCTCACTGTAAATGACCATCGATGACCTTCTATACTTCACAAAGAGGAAAAAAAACCAAAAAACCCCACAACAACAAAAAACAAATACAACCAAGGTTTCTCACAGTATTTAAACCTTAAGGGGAGAAAAAAAAATCTGTTAGACAGTAAATACCACCTGTTGTTTACACCATCATCTACAGCAGCACATGATGGTGTAAACAACCATAATCTGCTACCGTGAGAATAAGGTCAGGATCAAGGTTATTATAGTTAAATCAAGCTTTAAGAAGTATTTTAGGTAACTGAACTGGAATAAAAACCTGATAAAAAACAAACAAAGACTATTATGTTCTTACTGACTTAATAAAACAAATATAAAGGAAATTTCTTTAGTCTTAGTATTTGTCACTTTGAGAAGCCTTGTCTACCTATTGAGACTTTTAAAATGTGATCTGTTTGTCCTGTTTTATTCATTCTGAAGCTATAAAATCTTCCCCTTGACAAACACAATCGAAAGTAAAACTTTTCGAACATTAAAAACAAAACCGAAACTGTCAAACTTACTCTGGAAACTACCTGAATTTCAAATGTAATGGAAAAAAACAAAAAACAAACCAAATCAAAACAAAGAAAGAGCAGAACAAAATCGTATTAGTAGAAAACTACATCTCAAACAAGCCACCTCAGCAGCAGACTTGCTGAAGAAAAGCTGTTAGTATTTGGTGTTATTCTGTCCAGTAAAAACACTACACAACACAAGTGAGTACATCTCTGTGCAATAATCAGTTAAATGACAGACTGGTTGAAACTGCATCAAAACTTGGGAAGTTACTTGTAAAGTTAAATGAATAATCAAAAACAAAGATGTCATGCTCAACATGTCTGGTATGTTAGTTGTACATATTGTAGTTGTGTACTGTGACTTGGAGGGCATAAAAATATGTGGAACAACCAGTAATGTGGGCTATTCTTGGTCATGCTGTGGACAGAAGACATAATAGCGAAAGAACTTTTTCGCGAAGTGAAACCAAGTGTTTAAACAATGAAAACTGTCCACTGCAGCCACTGTTTGTCTTTTTAAATTGGCCCACTTATTTACTTTATGTCTGATGTCCCCCCCCCCCAAACATCCTCTTTGTGTTGAACTGTGCCTCCTCTTTCCTGCTCAAACCACCCAATCAGCTGGCTTTTTGGGCTCCATAGTATCTGAGCAGGCTGGATTTCCATAACTTTCCCTCAGGTCTGCCAAAAACAATGCAAACGCAGGCCTTTTGGTCACATTTACTTTCCTTGTGAAAATTTGTTTTGCAACACGAATTCACAAAATAAGGGAATGGAAATGGGGGGGAAATCACTGCAATCATGTGCTCTTAATAGCAGTGGCTTCAATTCCTCACCTCACCTGGGACCCAGCTACTTTGCATTGTCAGTGGTTATTTTGCCTGTGGCTGCTTGAAGCCGCTTCCTGTGTGAGCGTGGGTACAAGACGTGAAGACGTGCCTGTTATAAATGACAAACATGGCCTGAGTCGTACCTGAGATCTTACTCATTTTCATGAGACTGCCACGCCTATTTTTCTTTTTTACTGACTGATGATTGTTTTGACAGATTTAGGTTTGTGAACCAAGCAGTAATGCAAAAACTAAAATACAGATTTATATACTTCCAAATACTTCTTTTATAGTTCTATAAAAAGAATTACTTACTCAGTTGAGGGAACTGAATTTCCTCTCTGATGGACTATTGAAACATCTTCACTGCATTTAAACCAGTTTGATGCCAGAACATAAATATTTGTAACTTTCTGTTACGCCAACATCAGTACCTATCATGAGCCGCTTTTTTTTGATGAAGGAAAGACTCATCACGCAAAGTCATCCAACACCACTCGATGATCCAGGGTGAAGGGAGAGACACACTACACTGGAAATACAGGCTTCAAAATAGGCTACACCTATGATTACTTCACACAAGTTAGAAAATGTTGATTATTGAAACACAACTCACTGAAAATCATGGGCTCAATCAGCCTTAATGAATAAATATGATTATGAAATAGGTTGTTCCAGAGCTTTCTAGGTTTGGACACATGGGCTGTCTGCATCACAGCTCCACATGTGAAAGAACTTTGAGGAATTGAAACTTGATTGCAAGCTCTTCATAAAAGAGGAAAAGGGGACACATGAAGTTCTGTTAACAACTAGAAATCAGTCAGAACATAGCTGAAGCAGTAATCACAAAGTACAGAATAGGCCACTAGTCGAGCTCGGATGTCTTTCCTACTACCACAATGTCACTGACCGAGTGCTTGCACAATCTGACCCTTGTGCTTCAGGCTTGGCAGGAGGATTATCAGAGGGAGAAAAACACTTTCTATGACAGAGCATGAAAGTGACTGCATAATGTTATTCTCTTCAGATCAGCGGTCCCCAACCCATCTTTTTGTACCGATACTGGTTTTATTTTGCTGTATTTATCCACAACACCTTAAAGGCCGGTCCGTGAAAATGTTGTCGGACATAAACCGGTCCATGGCGCAAAAAAAGGTTGGTGACCGCTGCTTTAGATGACATCCAAGAATTTAAAAAATGCAATGAATATAAAAAGAAGCCTGAGGAGTATTGGAAAAGTCTGGATTTATGGATGGTTACAGGTATGCCTGTTAGGAATACCAAAAATACTGGGTGACAACTTGCCTGCCTGGCTGCAGACAACTAACAGAGGAAGTAGACTGTAGCAGAATGGACACATGTTACCTCACTCAAATCCAGTAGCAAACACCTTTGGGGTGTTTTAAAGAGAAACAGAGGACAAAAAAAGAGCTTAAAATGTGCCCGAAGAACAGCAGAACATCCCCAGAGAAATTTGTGCAACAAATTTTGAGCTTGTCATCAATAATAATAATAATAATAATAATAATAATAATAATAATAATAATAATAATCACATGAAATAAATAAATATCAGTAATGAAAGTTTAGCTGGTCTTTGTTGGACTAACTTCCCACCTTAGCTGTGTGACTGTGTTTGATTTAGGGTCACTGTGGAGATCAGCATCCATATAATGAAGTGCTGCAGACCTTTATAAGGCAACATTTATAAAATAAAATATTTAGAAAATAAAAGTGCTGTCAGTACTAGGACTACTTTTTTTCCTTTGTTTTACATAAAGACAGAGTACCCTTCTATTTAGCTGTAACCAAATATATTTTTTATTAATCTGACATGTAAAAGATATTGCATAGTGATATACTGAATATCTGAGATTGATAGTTTCAGATCCTAGATAGGTACAATTTATGTTAATTATATTAGCATAGGAGGATAAAACAAACTTTCCTGTAGGAGACCATCTACAGGTACATGTACAGCTAGGCCAAGCGGCATCTCGTTATGCTTACCTGAAAGAGGCGTGTGACGACATGGACATAGGAGCCGGCAGCGGCCACAAACATACAAACTGCCAAGCTTGAGTACACATTCTTCAAGTGCACCTGGGTGGAATGAGATCTGCAGGAAGAGGGATAATACATGAACGAGGCATTAGTGATGAAAGGGCAAGTTAAAAAGCAGACCATGACGACCGTTTCATTACCACATAAATTGTTTACGTACATTTGGGAGAACTTGAAGAGGGCATCAATGTTGATGCTGCGGTCAAACACGTTCATGGTGAAATCAGGGACTGAGATCTGATGAGACTTCTGATGAAACGCTGTCTTCTCTTAACAGATATGAACGTAAATTAAACTTCTGCTCCACTTAAAACAGTAAGAGTAAAAACTCCTCTATCATGATGACTGTAAGCCTGGAGCAGGTAGTACAAGTGCAACCATTTGTTAATGATTAGTGGAAAGAAACTGGGTATATCTTTGCAGTTTTCTCTGAATGTTTAAATAGTAACGGTGATTACTGATGCCACTAACACTTGCAGCCAAAATATTCACCAAGTGTGCCAAACCCTTCTCCTCTTTACACTCAGTTTCTAATTTTATAACACAACTTACTTCTTCACACTCAGACACAGCACCCCAGTACTTTTCTCGCTGCCTACAACAAGGCAACACAGCATGCAATGTGTTATTCCGAAACCTGTAAGGATTGGGAGAGTTAGCTCAATTGTGTAGGTGCACTTTTGTTTTTGAGGAGATTAAGAATGCATGTACTAAGATCAGTTTTAAAGGTATTTTTATGCGCAGAATACCACACTTTGTTCTTCTTTTAATTAAAAACTTGAATGTAATCTTCTTGGGCCTTCATACACAAAACTACTACTACACCGTAAAAGCACAAGAATGCCAACAATTGTGCACTCTTGTTTAAATGACTACATAATTTTTATATTTCTAAATAATGTGACTCACATGGGTATTTATCCATTATTATTTCAGTTGTGATACTGTGTTACATTTTTTATTCATAATTATGATCAGTTTATTGGATAAAGTACATTTTGGTCTCAGATTTTAATGCATTTTATCCATCCTTTCCTTATGTCATGCATTTCCCAAGTTTCACTTGATGTACTCTTACTGCATTTACAGGCTACTGTAAATGTTATTTTGCAGTAACCTACATGAATGGTGCAATCAGTCTAACTGTAACTGTGGTGTATGGGGCACAGATATGCTAAAAAAGCTGAGATAGCTAAACTGCAGCACATCAGTTTCATGCTCTGTGTAGGAACTGTGTTAAAGTGCATCACACCTATCAAGTAAAATTACATTTAAAAATGTTAAAACTGTCAAACTGTGCAGTGTATAGGACACATGACAAAAACCTGATCAGTCTCAAAACAAAGTGAGAGATATGTGTTGTGTACAATTTCTCTTACTTTTCTTAAAAAAAAAATACTTCAGATATCCATATTTATATTTTCTTCTAGTAGTTTTAGTAGTTATAAGTTTAATTTGCTAAACTAAGGTTTTGTGAAGATCCTTTAAAATTAAAAAGCACCTCAGAATATTGCTTTATGTTTACATTCTCATACCCTTAAGTTCGTGTGTTTTCTCTCTCTTTAGCAATGCACAATCAGTATAAGATAGCACAGCACAACATTCTTAAATTAAGCTTACCCTAACTTTTTGAACCAACAAATTAGCATTTTTAAATATTGCCAACTTATTGAGTTTAAAACTTAATATCTGGTTGCTTGCATGTAATGCACTGGTGCAAAAGCATAATTATTTCAGTTTCACAAAAGTAATTTGCTTTTTGAAAAGAGCTGTGTATCGTGAAGCTGTTGTCGGTGTCTAAAGTTGTAGAGAAACAACTCAAAGTTTTAATGAAAGTGACTGAGCAACTCAGAGTGAGGTATGTACCTTTACATTGCAGCAATTTCAACAGCTATACAAGCGTCTCACACTAAAATTTCATACATAGGGCGATTTCGTTATCACTATAACATGAATAGTAACATTAGAACAATGACAAGGGCCTTTCTACGAACCCCATACTCTTTATTTTCCAGCAAATCTAAACCTTTAATTTAGCAACTGGGAGTCTAAGCTATGAAAATAATGTGATTCTTACTTTCATTATTAAGGAAATTCACACAGAAGATTAGAAGTGCGTAGTCTACTTTGATGAAGTTACACAACAGGTTAGCTTTAAATGTCAAGCTTTATGCCATAACTAGCACACAAACATGCTAACAACCTGTTTAGTAGTCGCCATGCCTCCGATTCGGGAAGCATGGTGACTGCTTGAACTACTTATTCTTACAGAAATACGAGAATAAGCCATTCGACACGATAGCTGAGCACCAGACAGCCAAAAAGCAGACGCCTGGGAATGTATTAATAGCTAACGCTGCTAGCCAGTACCCATCAAATAACAAGAAGCCTGGCGAGCTAACGACACAGTTCGACGTCTCCCTTCTTTCTTCGGTTATTTTCAGCCCCAGTTAACACGACAAAACGATAAGCACAAAACGGTTGCATTTGTACCTGCATATTACTTACCTCTCTGTTACGAGCTGTTTCCTTTTCTCTGCTTTACAGTTAAGTTTTTTTCTAAAACAAAACCGTACGTGTCAGCCTGCTGATGTCACCATGGAAACGCCCAGAAGATTGTAGTCCAGTCACGCGCAGCGAGGTCGAAAGTACGACATATCACCGGCTATCTAATGCGATTTAATGAGCCAACTAGCTGTTTGTAATTATGAATTCTTTTTTTCAAAAACATTAAACGTTACAAGTTATTTTCTCTTCACTTTCGAATAACATTTATATTATGCTGCACTGCCTGGTTTGTCATCGAAGAATGTCACCGGTGCACCTAAAATGGCCGACACAAAATGTAACTGATATCATCAGCAAAGCGTCTTTAGTGCTGTAAAAACAACGTTTGTTTGATCACAAAATAAACGCTGTAAAGAAACCACTTAACCGTCTCAACGGTTTCTAATCAAACCGAAATAAGGAGGATATAAGAGTGTAAATATAAGTTCGATGATATGACCGAGATATCAGTCATGACGAATGGTGCAACTGCATGCAACATGTGAAATATTTTCACTTATGTTTTAGTCATTATACCAAAAGTAGCCTATGCAATAATAGTTTATAATGACAAAAATATAGCACTTTGTATTGTATAAGTTACTTAGTTGTTAAGCTCTGCAAAAGAAAAGAAAAATGTGCAAAAAATGTGTTTCTTTATGGTTACATCTTAAATATTTATTAAATTTAATACTTGAAGTAGCTTCCACTAAACATTAATTTTGGTCAATGAAATGTTTCGACGTGTAAATTAGTTCCCAATTAAGCTTTAAATTCTTTCTTTCGCTTTATCCATTTAAGAAAAATCCTAAATTAAATAGTCCACAAAAGCCTGTATCATCTTTATTATGTTATTTCTTTTTAAGTACGAATTGTACGATGGTAGTTTTTTAGAACTCTAAACGAGTAAACAAATTATTCTCTGCTCTGAAATGAAGTTAAAAAAAAGACAAAAAGTAATTTGGTTCCCAAATGTTTCCCTAAAAACAGCACCTTAGTAAAGTTGGTCATGAAAGTACTATATACTGTACAAACATGTAATTTTTCTTTCATTAGATGTAAAAACTTAAATATTTAAAGATATTTAATACACTACAGTGATTTTCTTTGTAACATGGCATAAAACACACATACGCAAAGGTAGTAAAATAGAACCAATTTTTATTTGAAAATAAAACCTATTTGAAAATAAAAATTGGTAGCAGGTCTTTTAGAGTTTTGGTCAGACCAGGTAGAGAAAAATTAAGTTCTGGATTTATTCTCATACAAAGACAAATTGTGACTTTAAACAAATACTTTTGGTCATCACAACTGGTTTCAATATTCTCATTGTCATGTTTCACTAGTTGACATGCAGACATAAAACATCATAGAAAAAAAAAAAAAACCATTCAACCCCCCCAAAAAAACGTAACCTCTCAAAATCTCTGTGGTACTGGATTTCAAATGTATGTTTGCTTGAATGATTGAATCTCCTCTTTACATCCGATCGCTGATTTAACTGTAAGGTTTTGTATAGTTAATTCTGACAGCAAAACGTGCATGATTTAGGCACAGATAAAACAGTTAAACACAAGGCCAGCCTCAAAACAGGCAAACGGATTACAATACACAGGGTTGAGCATTATGAAGTACTGGACACAAGTTTTTGGCCAATAAATATAGAAAAAGACACGTTTAAAAAAAAAAAAAAAAAAAAAGAAACCCAAATATATCAAATTTGATATTTTCAAGTGTTGCACTGCAAGTACCGCAGCCCCTGGCATTAAACTTGCTCCTGACAGTGTTTTCTCACGCTCAGCATGACACAGCAGTGTGTATGCCTACAAATCTCTGTTCAGGCAAAACACCATTCTGTCCTAATTTCAAAAGGCACAGCTTTTACTTACAGCACTGTCAATATAAAAGTGCAAGTTGTTTGCCATTGAGCAATAGAAGAATATAGTAACAAATGAAATATTAAGCTATGACTTAAAACTGTGGCATTTAGAAATGTGTCCTATGAAAAACAATTAAAAAAAAAAAAAAATTCCAGTGTCTGTTTTTGAAAGGACCAAAAACGAGATTTCACCCCATTTATCCAACTTTATAACCAATAGTATCAAATGTCAATTTGACCACTTAGGATTTATATTGCATGTTATGTAGAAACCACTTTCATGATACAAATGACTAAATACACTTGTTTTGACACCCATTTATAGTTAAATAAGGCTACAGTAATGTCTGCTTGACTGGCGACGCAAGAGGTACTGTCCATGTGATCACAGAACTGGGTTGCATAGAGGAACCGCGCTGACCGTTTAAAAATAGATTTCCTTATAAAACAGCCTATTAAAATGAAAGGTATAAAATCGTTTATTAGAAAAGGTGTTTTTGTTGTTCCATACAAGGCACAATTAACAAAAAAACAAAAACAATGTCCAAAAGTCAAGTCAGGACAGGCAGGCTTCTGCTTTGGCAAAAGAACCCCTTTAAAATTCATACCAACTGGAGTGATTGTGATGGGAGTGCTTTGGTTGGTGTTTTTTTGTTGTTTGCAGCTCTGTCGTGGTGCTTAAAAGTAGTGATTTGTGATTATTGTCAGCACTGTGGATCAGAGGAGAGGCCTCACTTTGTGACATACACTTTCAATTGAGCCAACAATCTTTCCCCAGGCTTAGAATTTCCTTGACCTCATACCAATGCAGTTTTCTAAACAGAAGGATTTTATGCACAGGCAAAGAGAACAGTCTGGAAACGTATGTCTATGTTCTGAATACATGTGGCTATTTTAGTCAACTTTAGCGCTGCTCCCCCCGTTGGAGTCGAGCAGGTCTGTTGAAAGCTATTGTCCACGAAGCTGGTCCAGCCGGGTGTAAACGTTATCAGCTTGGCTAAGATCTTCAAACACAGGAAGAAGGTTTAGCAGCTCAGCATCATCCACGTCGTCAAACCACGACACCACCGGAATCTGGGGCAAAGAAACACTCGATTATATAAGGTGCATCTACCCTAGCTAAGCGTGCACCAAGTAAACACAAAGCCAATTCAACCCTTAACAGCAACCTATGATAACTAAAGTAATTTTTACCTTTTGTTTCAGGAAAAAGAGATCTAAAGACAAGTGTTTAGTTTGGCGGTTTTACATCATATTGGTCAGGAAAACCTTTTCCTAGTACAGACAGATTCATAATTTGGTTATGTTCCTGGCTTGATTGATCAAATACAGCAAATTCACTTCTGTGGTTCAAGTTCTCAGACAGCTAAATTTGACACATACAACCAACTAAGTCCTTTATGAAAGGCAGTGTGCACCAGATTTGCAGAGACTGGTCCAAACTCACAGCATTATTTGGGTGGAATATGTAAGAGGCAGGAGAGTTGTCCAGGATGAGGGTTTTGTGGAGGTCTCTGCCTAGGCGGCTTAAATCCTTGACATAGCAGCCCTGGTGGAATACACAAGATTCCCGAAACAACCGGGTCCGGAATACTCCTCCCTGGTCCAGCAGGTCCGTCACCGGGTCTGCGTACTGGTGGGAGGATTGGGTAGCAGGTGAGGGAAGAGCAGGGATGTACAAGGCTGGGCTAAGCTGTCCCAAGCTGCTACAGAATATTAAGCTGGGACACAGCTGGCACTAAGACTTTAAGATGAGTTGTGTATAAACTGACACCCATCTATTCCTTTAAGCATGGAGGGTGTGGGTGTTCACTAAGGTGTCTACCAGCACGTTAGAGTAAGAGAGGGAACTAAAAAGGTGAGAGAAAGCAGATCTGATAGATCAGACATCAGCTAAACAAAGATCTTCATGTTTTATTCCAGCATCTAATTTCAGGATCACTGTCAATATCTGATGTGAAGTACCTTAGCAAGACTGGCTGTAAACAGCACACATTCAAACAATTCGCCCATTCTCTGCAGGAACTCGTCCACATACGGCCTCTTCAGCACATACACCTGAAAGGGAAGCAAGAGGTTGGTGAACAGCTCAACAAACACGATTGTCATTTAACCAAATACTGCCAATGAAGCTTAAAGTATATTTAAAAAAATAATAATTTTAGTGCTCAAGAGGTCTAGGACAAGGCTTTTTTTGTAAAGTAGAGCTTAGAATATGTTAAGTCTTATAAAAATAATTATGCCTCAGCTTGATTTCACACAAGTTTTTAAAACTAACTGGGAAACAGGATAAGGAAGCTGTCACCTTTAAAAAAAAAATACACTATCAAGACAGGAAGCTGAAACAAATGCAGACTTAGCACAAGATAAAGAGAAATATGCCAATCCTAAAGATATCCAATACATGGAGAACACTTTAAAGAGAAGGTAGTTATTAGTCTTCCAGACACTACAGATAATTGGTAAGATCAGTGCAGCAATAACTTCTTAAACTGGCAGCTTGCTTTGGGATCTTGTAAGTGTTCAAGTGGAAATAAAAGTACACAACATACAATTTAAATTAAACAAAGTGCATCTCTCACTTCTGAAAGATTTTGTGCCATGTCCATTATCAATGCAGTTGCAAGATCAACTAGTCTGTAAAGCGTGAAGGTTTAATAGGGATTTCCATGTTTTTGTTCATCTGCACGATTCATTTCCATCCGTCAGCTGCTAATGGCCAGTTCCTGAAACAAGTAATCAAGAATAGGCCGTGCAGTGTTAACCAGCCTATCCTGGATTACTTGAACCAGGCAGAGGCCCACAGGATTCCTTACCATCACACAGGGGTCGCTCGAATCACATTTCTTAGTTAATATTTCCACACGTCCAACTTTAAGACCTTGTGCCCCAAAGATCAACACAATGCTATACTTGTGTATTTATTTCAAAATCTTCCTTGCAGAGGCACTGTATCAATTATTAATGACATTTTAGCTGAAATGACTCATTTTCCTGCTGATGCATCCACTTTGACTTGTGCAGTCTTGTTCAAATTCTGGCCACTAGAGGGCTCTGTTTAACCATCTTAAAAAAAAAAAACTTAACTGACCCATCCCTTTTCAGCTCAGCAACCACTGCAAACACAACATACATACACCCCCCCACCCCCTTACAGGAAAGGCACTCATACAGAGTAGTTTACCTGGTGTGTGGTCCCCTCTATCTCCACAGGCACGATGAAGTCTGCATTACTAATAGGCTGGAGGGAGAACACAGAGGGAGATGGTTGGCATGCTCATTCACATGAGCCACGCTGTGTACATTCACATGGCATTACATAACAGCTGAACAGCAAGAACCAGGCTCTTCATCGCTGCCATAAATCACAGCACATAG